AACTGGTCCAATCTGTAAAACCTGCCAAACCAGACACATCCCGGGTCATTGTGAAAAGAGACGGATCATTAAAAATCATTAAAAACAAACAGAAATCCAGCAGGCAGTGGTTCCATCCTACACCTTACATGTGACCCAGCAGTGCAAAAGATGCTACCACTCATCCTGTGGGCCAACTACAGGGGCCACACAGCCACTTCCACCACGGGACGAATTGAGCACCAGCGCACGGACAACACAGATGGTCAGTGCGCTGTGTGATCCGTTTTTTTTTTTTTAAAAGATAAAAAGCTCCTCTGCACCGTAAATCCTGAATCAAAAGCGCTTATCGGCTTCCTATGGAAAATGGATGGTTCTTTGATGAAGTTTAATAGAAGAGCGTATCGACATATGAAAAGACACAGTGGTGATTATTAAACTGGACCTCGGACGTTACTGGTCGCAGTGTTAACAAGTCTTTGAAGCCTCTACTGACTTCACTAGTCAGCCTGAAGTATAAACAGGAGGAGAGTCGAGCTGCAGCCCAAAAATAACAGATTTTAAACACTGGGTACAGAACAGAGCAAATGGCAAAGTATGAAATAGGGGGTTTAGTTTGGGCCGAGCCTGGAGAGCAACAGTCCCCACAGCTCTGCTCTGTAATTACTGGATTCGCCGCTGGCAGCGGGGCCCTCAGCGCGGTCTTGGGGCAGACCGACGGCACCGTTTCTCCCCGGGATCCCGTCACAAATGCCGGCACTCTTCTGCACGTTTAGAAGAAGCAAAAGAAAGTCAGGGTTTGGCGCGTCTGTGGTGGGACAGAGGGATGGATGCTGCGCGAAAACTGTGGATGGGATATGTTTATCACTCAACTATCCGAATCGATTCGGAGCATTTTGGCCCCGATGCTCTTAGTGCACGCACCGCACGTTCGCTTTCATGTGGTATATTAGCTGAAGTTGGAAGGACAAAAGGTTTAAATAGAACAGTGCAATTTGCCAACCTATCAATTGACAATGCTTGCAGCTTTATTACAGTAGAGTGGTTGATACCTTCTAAGATGATTAAAATGATTATGGTCTAATTAGGGATCGCTTGACAGTACCCACTTTGGCAGCCACCTGGATTGAAGACTCTCATGCATATTTTTAATGTTGCAAAAACCCTGTTACATTCCTCAAATAACCAATCTCTATTTTAGTTAAACACTCGTTTCTGCTGGGAGTCGTCAGCCAGTCTGCCGTCTCCGGACAGATTCTAGCCGCTTTCAGCTCATTGTTTTGGTTTGGCCGTCACTGTGGTTAATGTCCCATGCTGGCTGTAGATGAATGACACAGTAAGTGTGTGCGCTCAAACCAAATTGGACACAACTTGCACGGAAAAGGTTTCTCCGAAGTGGGCGGAGCAGACAACAAAACTACGAAGGGACCAAAGACTTCAGCAGTGTGTACTTGGAGGGCTCCAATACGATATCCTTGATCGGTGTCGGCTCAACTATCGGCCATAGGAACTTGGTGGTGGAATGTGGCATACGTCCAAAACGCTTTGGTTAAAAGACAATCCCAATTAGCCACATTGGTTCATCGAGACTTATAGAGGGGAAGCTGAGTCGAAGAAGATAAACGCGAGTCAATTTGTATTTTTTTTATTCATATTGGTAAATATGATCTACATCAAATATCCCATTTTTTGCAGATGCGCCGTGTGACACATGTGCAGAGTGGGTGTTTTATAGGAGGGGGCTGTGTGACACCAAAGACCCCATATACTTTGCAGACCGAAGCCATCTGAGCAGGTCCTAAACAGTCCAAACATGATCCATGTGCTACGGGAGGACAGTAAATCCTCAAGCCTCCCTGGAACACATGGAGGGGGCGGGGGGCTGCGAGGTAACATGATGGCCGTGGTAGCCGTCCCAAAAAGGCTGCTTGAGTATCAGCGACCATCATTTCCCCGTCCACCAGAGAAATGGTCTTTGGAGCTTGTGACATTTTGAGTCTGTCTCGATTTGAGCCATTTCGTTTTCCTATTCACATTACGCAGCAGTGACATTTTTATTTACCAAGTGACGATGATGAGAAAAAAAAAAAAAAAGGATGACGGCGGATTTACTTCCACCACATGGCATCAACGGCTGATTGCAAATATGACAGCTTTATACTGCAAAGCAACTATTGACAGGATATGTGGGTCGGTTGTCTTGTCTCAAACAACACAAGGGCCCACTGAAAACGTTACTGGGTGATAATGTAAGTTGAAAGTCGAAATAAACAGCTGCTGCAAAGCCAACGGCTCCGAATATGAACTCAAATATTTTTCAAAAAGCCAATCCTGGCATTTTCCTATGCTAATCTTAGCTCCACAACACCTTTCGCAATGGTCACGCTTCCCGTGGAGGATGTGGTCTGTGGTCACTGAAGTAAAGAGTAAAGCAGCACAAAGTCACAGCATATGGTAACATTTCTGCTTCTCCTGAGAGCACAAACACGGCACTCTCCTCGCTTGGCAGTCTTCTTGTTTTCCAGAGGGAGATGTGGGTTTATTGGGAGGATAACAAGGGCGAAGGGCACAGGGAGGCTCCTTTGCCTCTTGACCTCAGCAGGGAGGAACTGGGAGCGGCCGTAAAAGAAAAAAAATGACCACCCTGTTGGGAGGAGGGCCGGGCGATTCAGCACCGTCCCATCGACAATAATTAGCAGCGAGCCACAGTAATGAAGAGCTTAAGCTCTCCATGGGCTTAGCTTTTATTGTTCTGGGTGGGTCTTTGATCCGTCACTCCCCGCCGACCACAGTTTAACCACAAACAACTGAGGGGCTATGGGGGAGGGGGTGGTCAAGTCTTCATGAGTTTTGACGACACATCTTTGGATTTTAACACCAGAGTTTGGGGGGAGCTCCCATGTAGTTATTTTACTTGAAAGCGGAAGCAGACAGGGAGCCTTTTGCTTTATACATTGTTGAAGAAGTACGGTGGGGAAACATTTGGTTCAGCATTAAACCTATTTGTGTCGTCTGGGAGGCCAAAAACAGCCAAGCACTGCTCATTTTGGACTGTTTTCACTGAGGATGGCGGAGGTTCTTTAGTTAAGTCATTGTCAAAATACATCTCAAATCCATCTTTTCCTGAATAATTATTTTTGAAAGTGCAGGGATAGTAAGATAAAAGTAGATCCAAAAAAGTATTCTAAAAAGGGGTAATTTGCCCTGTAAATGTCCCCGCTACAGGACTAAAAAGGATTTTCTTATCTTAACTAGAGTATGATGGCAAACATTTGAAATTTCACACCAAAACCTCAGTGGATGCTTTAATTAAAAAATGTAAAAACACATTTGGTGCCTAGAAACCTGAAGTAGAGAACATCATGCCTCTCTGCCTGTCCTCACAACTCGTATACAAATAATGGCTCACCACAGTATACGGATATGAATAATCTTTAATTGAATGTCATTTCAGCTGCTTGGACATCCTACTGTAGAGTAGTGAGCGGTGCAGGTCAGAGAAATCAAGCGTCCAGCCTCCTTTCCCACGGACATGATCTAATGACAGATCTCAGAGCAGCAGTTGCTTCAATCACAGCCTTTCCAGTAGCATCGGTGAGAGGACTTTAGCATTGCCGTTACCTCGTAGGATCAGACTTTATCCTTTACAGCGCCGAGCTAGCGATCTCAAACCAGAATGCATGGCCCTTAGCCCACATCAGCCATGTTATAATATTCAGCTCTGGTCACCTTAGTCCACATCAGCCATGTATACACATTCGGATCTGGTCCCCTTAGTCCACATCAGCCATGTTATAATATTCAGCTCTGGTCCCCTTAGTCCACATCAGCCATGTAATCACATTCGGATCTGGTCCCCTTAGCCCACATCAGCCATGTTACATTATTCAGCTCTGGTCCACTTAGTCCACATCAGCCATGTCATCACATTTCAGCTCTGGTCCCCTTGGTCAATATCAGCCGGGTAATCACATTCATTTCTGCATTTACAAGTACGTACACACACACACACTTTGAGATACTTGACAGTCTAAAAGGTCAGCGGGAAACAAATCCCACAAATCACCAAGCAGAGCGATTCAGCGATAATTCTCTTCTCATAAATCTAATCCGACTACACAGGAAGAACTTGGACACCGCGTTAGTAAAGGCCGGTGGTTACTCTTAACTAGCACGCTGGCTGTGTTGAACTCAACATCTCATTGACATTGGCTGGAGGACTTGAGTAGCCCGCATCACAAAAGCTGAGGTGAAAGCAGAGTAGGCCGTTTGTGAGTGGTCATGTAGGAGGGGGGAAGCAAGAGTAAAGACAAAAACAAGGAGCAGCGTGGAATACAACGCGTAACTGGTATAATGCAGAGTTCTTCACTAATGTGGGTACATGTTGTGGAAAACGTTGACGACACTGAGCAGCGCCGGAGGCTTCAGCTGTGCGTTTTTTAAGCTTCAATTTTCACTTTAGACCTTTTTAACTCAACCCCAGAAAACAGCTGCTCGTTCGGGCAGCAAATCAGGTTTCTTTTTGCACAAACAATTCAATTAGCGGCCCCTTCAAAGCAGCTGCGACCGTGTGCAAAGTGTGACAAGGTGACACAGCTGAGAATGCCAATTTGTGTTTATTTCAGAGCCGTGGAAACAAATTGCCTTTACAAAAAGGAAAACAAGACGCCGATTTACAGAAGTGAAATTATGTATCTTGGGAAAGCATTCAAAATGTTAAAGGGCAGTGCATTGTGGCCACTGAAGGCTTTAGTGTGACCTTCTCTCCGGAGGCCAACACGGTTCCTCCTTAGACAAAAAGAATTGGTTCCTGAAAGCTTTTTGTGGAACAGAAGTTCCAAACGTCACTGAATTACTCATCTGAAGTTTCTATTCCCACTTTCAGGGTCTGTAAACTCATATACTCGATGTGGCGCTTCATCAAAAGTAACAGTGGGCTAGCATTCATTACGGCCATCATGGCAGATAAAGTATAGTAAGCCGGTCTGTGCACTATGGTGATACAAATAAAGGGATTTTTATTGAGATATGTGCATTTTAATGTCCTGAAATGGAAACAGGCATCACATCCCTACTGTATCCTGTAGGTCCATTGCAGGGACAAAGAGCAGAATCTCCTAAAATAGTACTCAGCTTCTTCTTATCAAGGTCATCTCCTTAAAGACATACGGATGAGCGGATGGGAAGCTGCAGGCTCGTGGAATAGCATTTGTAAAGTTGTGTAAAAAGCTCAACACTCAACTTCACAGCTTTGGTAACAACTACAGCTTTCATAGTCTTTATTCGTAACATCTTACACGCATTTCTGTGTAAAGATTCACACATTTGACACAGACATTAGGGTCTGTATTTGTCCACCAGTACACTGGCTCAATAAGGAAGTGGACAACTCTGCAGATTCACCATTTTGCTGATTTATCTCTCAGGAGGCAAAGCCTGAAATTAGATGTGGCTCCACCCTCCTCCACCCTCCACCCTGCTCTCCCCTTGATCTCCTCGGCTCAGCGGGTGCCGGGGCAGGACCTGTAGCCAATAACAAAACATCTTTACATCTCCATTACTGCTGACCTGCTCTTTAATGGATCAGTGTCAACCCATAATAATCGTTATATATATATAGCCAATGTATTTTTTATTGAATATTTCTTACACTAAACTGACACTCTAAAAAGTCTGCAAGAGTAGTGAAACAATATCCTGTGATGTTATATTTAACATCGGTTAATTAACTGTTAAAAAGATGTTTGCGTGTGTGATTGCGATCACGTTTCGGAGACAACTGAAGTGTTTGTTGAAGGAGCGACCCCCCCCCCTCCACCCCCAGGCTGAGCACCACAAATAAACTATCTGTAGGAAAACTTGTCAATGATTTAATGAAATATCAAGTGCAGGAAACATTGGACACGGTTGCCGATGCCGGGGTCGACGTGGTGCAGGGATAAGGAGGATGCACTGGGAACCGCAAGGTTGGTGGTTTGAGTCCAAGCTGCCCCATGTTGAAGTGTCCCTGAGCAAGACACCTAACCCCAAAAATGTAAAAAGCCATGGGTTAAAAATGTGATGTAAGTTGCTTTGGATAAAAGCGGCAGCTAAATGACCTGTAATGTTATGACACTGAGGGGAAACCCTAATATGTTGGCCTCACGGTGACATGGCGCTAAACCACACTGTACGAGGAGGACGTATAATAGATGGGGCGTTACAAACAACTTATTGTAGTCACTCGATCAGACTATACAAACAAAGGCTGAATAAATCAGATTTAAACTGTTTTTCAGATGTTCTAGATTGTTAGCGGCAGACACAAAAAGTTCAAGAAACTAAGCCCAAGAGAAACAAAACACATCCTCCTGGATCCCGAGGAGCAGGTCCAATAGTCTACAGTTTCCAGGAATTCTGGCCAAAACCACAAATATGAAAAAAGCCAATCCAGTAAACATATGTTGCTCAGCCGATCTCGAGGATGTGATCTGCTCTACGGGAGTATAAAGGGAGGACATAGTTTAGCTCTAATTACGGCTGAACTGACTATGTTCAACAGATAAAAGTGTTGAGAACATACAGAAGCCCGCATCTGATGCCAAGTGATGGGAGATGGAGGGATAAACCATGGCTCCTCGGGGACAGCTCCAGAAAAAAATGTTTCCGATAACTACATACATTGTGCTTGAATTGGCAGATTGATTGCATTGAATCAAAAACTGCACTGAAACTCTGGGGGGAAAAAAGAAAAAAGTAACTGAGAAGGAAAAAAAGTTTTCCTCCAGCCGTCTGTTTACATGCTGTAATCCTCCAAAAATACCTGAAGCTCATCTTTACACCAAAGACAGAAATATACTATGATTATTGAATTTTGAATTATTGTGACAATGTGCGGCCAAATTAAAGTACTTGATTCACCCAATATGCACCATTTCACTTGAAAAAAATTCATAAATTACATGAGGTCCATGTACATGCATATATCGTATATGTTTGACAACGCACAGGGACTCTGACACGGCGCACGAGACCCTGTCCGCGCGTTAAAGCCATGTGAGGAGCAAAAACGGTGCGTTAACAGCACCAACCGGCACCGTCAGCACACCTCGACCCACACACACACCCCAAACACCTCCATCGTTACCCCGCTAGAAGCTCATCCCGCTCAGTGTGCGCAGTGTGGCGCACGCGTCGACTGCAGTTTTTTTTTTTTTTTTTGGTAACTGCTTTTTGTACTTACGATGAGAAAGCTTCCATAAACGCCGGGGCGGTCAAACGTGCAGAGAGAAAGGGGGATACGAAAGGGTCGTATCCGGCAGAGGTAACAACGTTTAAAGAGCCTCCGGTTACTTTGGTAGAAGCGTGTGTAGTGAGGTCCCGCTCGCTCCGCTGCTGCTGCTGCTGCTGCTGCTGCTGTGCTCGCGGTGTGCGGGAGAGCGCGAGCATTACTCCCGTGCCCGAGACACGCTGAAACCAGAGAGCCGGTGACGTCACGGTCCGGATGTAAAGAAGAGGAAAAAAAGGTGGCCGGCGGCGATTTGATTGTTAGCTCAAAGCACACACACGCGCGCGCCACAGTGTGTCCCGGTGACATTGGTGAATACCAAAATAAATATATATATATATATATATATATATATATATATATATTATATGTATATACTTTTACAGCCACAGCTACACTCCACGTGGAAGAAATTCATGGAAAAGTCATTTTTACTAGTGAGAACTGAAGTGACACCATATTACGAATTTTGTTCCATTGTTGGTTTGGGCCTGTATCCAGGCAGGTCAATAATATAGCACGTAAAATAATTGGAGCTTCATTTCCTTGTGTTATTTCTGGCGTTAACTGCTTTGGGCCTGCACACATGAATGTGGGTAGCTGCCCCTCCCTCGCCTCATTCTTTGGCAAGTAGAGACAAAGGAATCAGAATTTTTGGAATCAGCCTGTTAAAAGTTGTGGCCAAAGTTCCATGGATTTTAATACTGTAGGCCTGGACTCACTTGTATTCCACTGTGATCGCTGGAGGTGGGCTACCCGGGTGGAAGCTTGATGGTTTCAATGGGATGAAGTGAGAGAAAGAACTGAATATCAAGTAGCTTCAGCAGGGAGCCTGCAGCCATTGAGGACATGAAAGCCTGGACAATGACCTCGGCTCCAACCTAGAAGGCAAACGGCTCCTCCACTCATCAACCTGCTGTGTAGTCAATGGTGCAGGAAGGCACCCAGGGGCCATCAGTAGGCCATCGCCGGCCTCTTTTCTCTTCTTTCTCACTATGTAGATCTCAAGAGGCAATAAAAAAAAATTAATTTAAAAAACACCACAAGAGGCAATACAGTTGTCTGGTGTGAAAACAGTACAGAGGCCTTACGGATATTAACACCATGACATAAGTAAAGTGTGATCTTCCTTGACCAGCTCTACGACATAAATAATGCATGGTGCTTCCATTATGAGGCAGGGGGAGGAAGGGTACACTAAAACATTCAGTCCTTCACCCATCCTTGGTCCTCCTGGGAGGGCCTAATGCCACAGCTGGGAGCCCTGGGGTGTGGCGACCACCTGGGGCCCAGAGTGGACACCGTGCCCTGAGAAGAGGCAGGGAGAGGGAGAAAGGAGGGAGTTTCTGGAGGATACGCGATACGATATTCATTTCTGTGGCGAATAAGCTTGTGCTCAAACACCCGCAAAAAGGAGTCAGAGGGGCAAGTCAAAGCAAGCTGTTTAGCCATCTGTGTAAATGCTGCGTTGTTCCAACGGAAAGCATGTCTCTATGACGGAGTAAGGATAACACGGAGGGCGGGCTCACATGTGTGTGATCTTGTCACAGTGGATTGGTTCGGCTCCACCCCTCCCGTCTATGAAGGCAGGCAACACCTGGACAACATAATTCCATATGATGTAGGTACAGTGGCCCTGCAATATACAGCACCACGTTTGAAGAGATTAAAATGTTATATCTGATTGAAGTAAAACAAAAAGTGTGAATAGATGAGGTAGGCACAGCGCGCTTTGCTGATTAATGTGCGCTTGTTTCTGACAGGCTTAACACCTTGAATTACATAATATTCTTTTGTGTGTCCCAATAGTCTACAAATAACAAAAGTACAAATAGACACAAAAAAAACACCTCTTATACTGCACATTGTACCAATTATCAAAGAGCTGCAGAGCCTTGCTTTTCATCCGGTTCTCGGCTGACAGACGGCGGGGAGAAGCTTTCAGGCTCATTAGCTGCCCACACAGAGTCACAAAGCGGCGGCGAGGCAGAGGGACACTCTGCTCGCTGCCCACTCGCTCCGGTCCCCCACTCTTTCTGCTGCCACCCACACTGCCACGCAGTCTCCTTTGCCGCCGAGGGGCCCGGTTTATCACCGTGCCCGGCTTGTGAGCCCCGAGGTGGATGGCGAAGCAAACGGGAACCGGCGCTCTGCAGAGGGCTGAGCGACAGATACTGCACACATAGATAAGTCCTTCTCCAGTCCTGTCTTGGAGGAGCCGGCGAGAAGACTGGGCTGAAAAGGCCACCCTCTTGGTGCATGTGTGTGTGTGTGTGTGTGTGCACACACGAGAGGGGGCCCGGGGAGAGGGGGGGTGTTTTCTGCTCCAGTAATTAGCTGTGTGGGTCAAATGGAGCTGAATAACAACAACAGACCCCTGGGTGCCTGAGCCGTCGTTATGCACGGACAAAAGATCTGGTCCCTCCAGTGACATCAGTGAATTGTAGAACACGTTTTTGCAGAGGTCAAATAGACAAAAGCATATGAACATCCGCTGATCGAGTCGCGCCATCGCATGCGTGCGAATGTGGTCATTCCATTGGTGACGGGTATTCTGGAATGAAAAACTCCTAGTTGCCTCGAGTAGCCTTCAAAGGACTCCCAACCTCATTTGTGACGCGGCGATAGCACCAGGCGTCTTCCCTTGAGCGCGCTATCTATTGCCGTTTCCGAAGAACAGAGCGGCAAGAAGACCCCTCGGGAGTTGTTTTCATCTCCGCTGTGAGACAAGGTTGTTGGGAAATCTCAGCGCAGGATTTTTTATCAGCATCGACAGCGGAGATCAAAGCCTTTGCATCTGATATCGCTCTGAAAGATTCATCTCAAAACACCAAAAAAACAACAACAACAAAATGACATGCATCCACTTCATACCACTGTAATGAACGGAGAAAAACAAAGTTAAAGAAAGGATGACCACTCTGTTTGTCCTTCCAACAACTCTTTCCCAAAAGCCCTTTTTGGAGAGATGTAATGAAAGGAAAAGGCGTTCAGTAGACTGTTGAATAGACTAATTAGAACAAGATCAAAAAGCAACGTGGCTAATTTTGCTGACGGCTAACAACAAATGGACCGATCAATATGCTAGTCAAAACTCACAGCCCCCCACCCCCCGCACGCGCGCATCCCCAAAAGCGCCCCCGCTCTCGCAGGCAGCCAGGACGTGTAGGAGAGCGGGATCCTCTTAAGGCCAAACCTCCCTGTGCTAACGACACATTGATAAATGGAGAGGCTGCTCCTAGGAAGTTTCTTGTCCCAGAGCGAAAACAAGGGAGGAAAATCCAGGCCTGCAGATCAATATTTTTTTGTGTGTGTGACACCTCGGGACGGCCTGGAAAACAGAGGGGTCGATGGGAGACGAGGATGGGGGGGGCTTTAGCTCACGATGCACTGAGCGCCGTGAAAAAACTCCGGTGGTTAGAATCTGATCGGCCACATACAAAGAGATTTACGATGCACGCTGCCTCGTGCATCAGACAGTCAGCTGCACGCGACGTGTCGGTCTGTCTGTGGAGTCTATGGGCAGTGATGACGCAGGATTGACCGGGACAGCATTAGCTGGGTCAAACAAGGGTTGACATTAATTCGACCGGTTCAGCAGATGTGCGTGTCCTCCATAGGAAATGGGTTTATGAGAACACCACGGGGGCTCGCTTTAAAGTCATCCGTAGACGATAGGTTGTTTCACGAGCGTTGGATTGAGTTACGCAGCATGAGATCATAAAAAGGATATGGGGAAATGGCCCAAACATAATAAGAATACCTCTGAATGTTGGATAAACCCTGGCATCTAATTCACAATGGTAAAACACAATACTGAAGCTGCACAGACCCTCTCCAGTCCCCTCCTCCAGATAAATGCCTGTGTTTGAAGTCAGACCTCTCTGTCGCAGATGCAGAGTGTCAACGCTGGTCTTTGGGTGCAATGAGCCCACTGGGAGTGGATGATGGTGCCGATTTGACAGAGCCAATAGCTCCAGCCGCCTCCACGTGGACGGGGCACCTCCACAACCAAACCAAGGACCCGCTTTAGTTCCGGACGGATCCCGGAGGACAGGCGTCAGATGCCGGGTCAGCCTCTGTCGCACACTAAGAGGCTTTTATAAAAAGTACAGCAATAGAGCAGAGACACAGGCTGTTAGAGTTCATTCATCGCAGACAGGAAATCTACTTACCGGCTCCAAAGAGCCCCCTCTTCTCTCTCAGCTATCCTCCCTCATCGCTGCAAAATTGAGTGAAAACAGCCTTCCACACGGACCTTTTTCGCTGCAATTATGTTGCCAGGGCGACCGCTTTGGTCCAGGCTTACTTCCTGTCAGAGACGACGTCGACAAACATTACAACGGCAAACACAAAGAGAGGCCCATTTAGAATGTTTGTGCTGTCACCTTTGAGAGGCTCCATGAAGAAGTTTTATGACACCTGCTCATTTTGAAGAGCGAGCTAACAGCCTAGATGCAAGTGACCGGGAACAAAGAGTTGAACTGGGAATGAAAGAATCTCTTTTTGAATGAGTTCGTCGCAAACGCTGAATTGCTTCAACAGGCGCAGAATACTTGCTGGAACAAGACGAGAGCACTGAGAGAGGTACCGCAGCAGCTACTTTTTCTAAGCAGTTTCTGAGGATGCAGTGTGTGTACTAAAGAAGTGTTTGACTTGTCAATACAGCACACTGGGGACATGGGAGGAGCTACTCACAGCTGCAATACAATTTAAAAAATGTACGAATGGGGCGGAAATACACAAACAACGTAAATGATCCATCATTTACCATCTGACCTTATCTCCACCTGGGTTTGCCTGGCTATTTCATTTCCTTATATCACCCTCGCTCTCCCATTTTACGGACCAAAATATGAATTACTTAATTATTCGGAACTAATACTGAAGACGGTGAAACGCGGCCCTGTCTTTTTGTGCTCCCCCTCGTTGCGCGAGTGTTGACAGTAGCAGAAGAACAAGCTTTTGACCCACTACGTCGCCTTCAGCGGTGCTGAGCATGCTCAGTAAGCCTGCCACAGGGCCGGGCTCCTGCTTTGTCCTACTTCTGATAAAACCAATAATGTCATGGAAAGTGTCTCCGCAGTGATTATGTTTGTGTGTGTGGGCCCTCAATATTGGAGCAAAATCCAATCCTGTCAACCACAGCCACAAACAAATAATACCACCCCTGGTGATGGGTCTCATTGATCTGTCTATCATGCAGAACTTCAACAGGAAAAGATAT